GAAAATGTCAATCCTTTTTGTTCTTCCATATTGGAGGGTTCTTGATGTGAGGCATTGTATAGATGTCATGCATGTAGAGAAAAATGTGTGTGACAAGTATCATCGAACGCTCCTTAACATTCAAGGAAAAACAAAAGATGGTGTCAATGCTCGTTTGGACATGGTTGAAATGGGTATAAGAGAACAATTAGCTTCTCAACCTCATGGTAACCGAACATACTTGCCTCCGAAGCATGTCACACACTCGTCTAAAAAAGAGAAAAGAAGTTTTTGTGAGTTTTTACGAGGTGTGAAGGTTCCATTTGGTTACTCTTCCAATGTGAAGAGACTTGTATCTATGAAAGATCTAAAATTGCTTGGGTTAAAATCTCATGATTGTCATGTATTGATGCAACAACTTCTACCTGTGGCTATTCGAGGTATCTTACCGAGAGAATGTTAGATATTCCTTAACTCGATTATGCTTTTTTTTTAATGCCATATGTAGTAAAGTTATGGACCCATATGTTTTGGATCGGTTAGAGAATGAGGCTACGAGTCATATTGTGTCAATTTGAGATGTACTTTCCTCCATCATTTTTTGATATTATGGTTCACTTGATTGTTCATCTAGCCAGGGAAGTTAGAATCTGTGGTCCAGTTTTCTTACGATGGATGTACCCTATTGAGCGATACATGAAGATATTAAAAGGGTATGTGAAGAACCAATATCGTCCTGAAGCATCAATTGTTCAAAGATATATTGCAGAGGAAGCTATTGAGTTTTGCACAAAATACTTATCAGAAGTTGAAGCTATAGGGTTACCTAAGACTCGTTACCATGGAATAGGTCTTGGTAGAGGAACTCGAGGTGCAAAAGTTGTGACAATGTGTCGAGATGAAATACTTCAAGCGCATTTGTACATATTGAATAACAGTCACTACTAGAAAACTAGTTTTTTTCTGCCAATTTTCTTGTAAAAAATTGTTTAAATTTACAGAAAACTTATTTCTTGCAATTTTTATAAAAACTGTGCAAAAATATTCCCATGAAAAATAAGAATTTTTAGTAGTGAGTGAAGAAGTCATCCCCTACTTAAGTGCTCATAAAGACATTGTGAAGCGAAATAATCCACGTATGCCTAAAAAGTGGGTGATCACTGAACACAACAAGAGCTTTTTGAAGTGGTTTAAACAACAAGTTGAAGGTGACAATACAACTTCTGATACACTAAAGTGGCTAGCATGTGAGCCAAACTTTGATGTGATATGTCGGGGTGGGTATGATATAAATAACTATTCATTTTATACAAAGGGAGAAGATGAAATAAGCACAATGCAAAATAGTGGAGTCATGGTGGTGGTCGAATCAATGCATTTCTCGAGTTCAAAGGATAAATATCCGATAAGGGCGTCAATGGGCTACTTTGGTGTAATTGAAGAGATTTGGGTAATAGATTACACGATATTCGGAGTACCTATTTTTAAATGTAAGTGGGTTGATTTTAATACCGGCATCTTCACCGACGATCTTGGATTTACCTCGGTTAACCTTGAAAATACTCGTTATACCGAATAACCATTTATCATGGCATCTCGTGCAAAACAAGTGTTTTATGTCACTGATCCCGCTAACAAAGGATGGTCGGTGGTTCTACAAGGAAAACCCATGTATACTTCGATGAGAATGATGAATTAGTACTTGATATACCAGTAGACACCATGTTTCTCTTCAAATATGCCAAACTTGAGTGTTAATGTAGAAATAGATGATGTGCATGTCATACGTTATGACCATATGTAAGGATTTTGGGAGAATGTTCCAACTTGATAATGTATGCACTTTTTTTAATGTATTATTTTTTAATGTATGCACTTTTTTGTCTAAACTAATAACTATTATTTTTTTCTTTGAACACAAATATGGCAGATTCATCTCGGTACCCCTCCTCCTACACGAGTCCCCCTCCTACACAAGGTGGTGATCGAGTCGACTGCCTACCAGGAAATGAACTGTCTGGAACCGAGGTACATATATTGATTTCAATATGTTTCATATGTACATATCTGTCTCATAACTCGGATCTGTCTCGTACTGGATATATATCCGTAGCAAATTTATATATGAACTGTGCATATCCGTCTGTATCTAGATCTCGTGAATATTTGTCTGGAACCGTGATGAATAGGCAGTGTCTACTCGAAGAAAGGTAGCATCTCGTAAAGAAAATGCAGGTATTTTAAAAAAATAACACTTTCTACGCTCGGTTATGTCATTACCCGACGTAGAAAGTACTTTCTACGTCGGTTAATGACATAACCGACGTAGAAAGTGTAACATTTTATGTCGGTTATAGGCATAACCGACATTGATAACACATACAATCACGGTTACTGTTAACCGATATAGATACTGGGGTTATAGAAAGTTAGAAAGTAAGACTTTCTATGTCGGTTCCCTGACTAACCGACGTAGAAAGTCTTTCTATGACCGATCGAACCAGCTTATGATCGATCGAACTAGTTACTTTCTACGTCGGTTATTAGGAACCGACGTAGAAAGTCTTACTTTCTATGACCCCGTATCTATGTCGCCGCTTTAACCGACGTAGAAAGCCCATTTTAACCGATGTAAAAAACCTTTTTGCAAGTAGTGCAATTAGAAAAAAGAATTTGTCCTTACACTTTATTTTGAAATAATTAAAGAAAAAACTACAACTAACTTGAAAATAATTAATAAAAAAAACTACATCTAACTTGAAAATAATTATGAAAAAAATTTGCATCATATATTTCATTGCATCTCACTTCAAAATTTATACATTTTATTTTAAGATATGATTATAAAACCTAAAGATAACTTATTATACATTTTATTTTAAGATATGATTATAGAACTTAAAGATAACTTATTACATCTAATTCATTGTTCAATAATCAAATTAATTTTCAAAATAAAGAAATTGTTGACAGTAAGGACGACCTTAAAATGAAACAATAAAAAATAGTGGGTAATAATGATGATAGTTATAAGAATGAAAACGGTAATAAAAGAATAATATCATCACCAATAAAAAATAACTTTCTCTTTCCACGTTTATAAAGTAATTATTTTATATTATACATGAAATTTTAAGATAATAATAAATTTTTTATATAAAATATAAAAATAATTTTGGATATAATTTACGAATGTTTAAATTTTTTCCATTAAAAGAAAAGATGAAAATTAAAAGAAATATATACGAAAAAGTTTATAATTAATTTGATTAATTTTGAATAATAAAAAAATATATTAATAAAATAATTTATTAAATTATTAAAATATTCTTACTTAAAATTTAATAAAAAATTTAATTTATTTTATAATTTTTTTAAAAGTAATTAATTTTTAAAATATAATTTTTTTAATTTAAAATTATTAATTATAAATTATTTATACAAATTTATTTTAAGTACTAATTAAAAAATTAAAATATAATTAAAATATTTATTATAAAAATAAAATCAACAACATTATTAACAAAATCTATTTAAATATAGTTTTAATTTTATTATAATAAAAAATTATAAAATAACGTATAGTTATAAATATATATTATCAATATTAACTTATATATGTATATAATAAATATAATAATATTTTTTAATATAATGGATTATTTATATTTATATAACTGATTATTATACTTTATAATTGATTATATAAATGTACGTAAGTTTTCAAAAAAATTTATGATTCAAATATTTTTCAAAATTTAATAATTCAATTTATAATGTAATTTAATTATAATAAAATATTATTAATTGACATATGATTATATATATATATATATATATATATATATATACTAAGTAATATAAATTTATATTAAAAATAAAAATTTAATATAAATAACAAAAAATAATATATAATAATAAAAAATTTAATTTAATTCATATTATTATACTGGTTATATGAAACAAATAACTATAAATGATAAAATAGAAAAAATTATAATAAAAAGTTGATAAATTTTTAAAAAATAAAATAAATTTTATAATCTTTTCTCTCAAATTCATTCCAATGTTAGTATTCATTTTACCTATTCGTATTCATTCCACCTATTCAGCATAAATCAATAAATCCAAACAAAATTAATTAATCCACACTCATCCGTCTCCAACACAAATCCAATATAAAACTAATTAATAAAATTAATTAATCCACTAATCCGTCTCTTCATTTTCTTGACTATTACATCTCTTCGTTTTCTTGACTATTACCTTTTACCTTGAAGCTTGGTGCCTCTCATTTGTCTGATTTTTAATTTTGTCTGGTTTTTAATTAGTTTTTGTGCTTCAAAAGTAAATCTTTCAAAAATTCATATTTATTCTATTGATTCTATTAAACTCAAGTTTCACCTTATTTTGGAATATGTTTCTACATTACTACTTTTCAAGTTAATTTTTTAATAAATAAAAATCTTCAACTCATTTTTTGTGCTATTCTTTTCATGTATAGGAGCAAAATCACTTAAAAGATGATTGAAAAGGTTAATTAATGCAGCGATGGTATATTTTCAAATTTCATTCTATTTAATTTTGTTTTATTGTAATATTTATTATAATACTTCAAAAAATTATATATTAAAAACATTTGTAATTTGGTTTTCAACAAAAATCATTTCAAGCAATGAAATGATAGTTTTGGTTTATTTCTCTAATAAATATTTGAAATGCACAATCATATTTATTTATTTTACTACAAAACTAATGAAATTAATTAATTGTGACATATACGTTTTATTCAAAAAGTGTCTTTTTCTATTTCAATTTTCTTCATCCTATTTTGAACTTGTTGTAAGTGATACTTAGAAATCATATAAATATTTTCTTCTCTTGGTGAATAAAAGAGAACATCAACATTTAAATGATAACGTGTCAAGAACTTTCTTATATAAAATCATTTTCATACACTTCACTGTAATTTTTACAAAGCTTAAGTTGCATGGGAAGTGAGAAGAAAATGTTGCAAGTACCTGAGCCCATCTTCAACACTAACATACCTCCAATCCACAACACTCAAAATCCCCACACTCACTTCATCCACCCTCACCCCATTCCCACCCTTCACTTCACACATCCCCACCTTCAAATCCCCCACCATCGCGCTCCCCACCGCGCCGGAGCAGCACCCAGCAGGCGGAAGCTCCTGCCAGAACCACCCCTCGCTACCGCCCACCAACCCCATTTCCCTCTCGCGCTCCACCATCGTGAAAACCCCTCCCCACCCTCTCAGCACCACATTCCACGTCACCCTCACCTTCTTCTCCTCCACCTCCCTCAAGACCGCGTCGTCACACCCCACGCCAAAGCGAAACACCCCCGCCGCCTCCATGCGGAGCCCGTCACCGGGCCTCACACCGGAGACCACATCACCGTCACTCGTAGAGACGGAGACGGCGAAGACGAGGTCCCCGAGGGAGAGGGTCGGCTTCGGGGGCCCCTTGCTACGGAGTGCAGCTGCGGCGTAGCCCATTGCAAAAAGGCGGCGGTGGGTCACGGCGGAAGGAAGGGTGGTTAGAGAGGGGAAGTGGGTGGCCAAGATGGGTTTCCAAATATGATCGGAAGACAGAGAAGAGAACCATGACTTTGACACGCATGAAGCTATGGCTAGGGTTTTGGGGTCAAGGCAAGTGGCTACGAGGTTGAGAGCTTCCCATGGTGGTGGTGACATTCTCGTACTGTAGATAGACTTCGTTTCGTTAAGATTGGTTTCGGACAGTTATGGTGGATAATGATGGTGTGTCGTTTTGAGGTTTGTTCCTGTGTCGTTTAAATGATGGGGTGGAGGAGGCACGTGGAGGAAGGTTGTGATTTGCATGGCCATTGATTGCCACGTAAGATTCGTGGGTGGAAGGCGAAGTCTATTTGTGTTATGACACGTGCCGAGCTCGTGTGTAATTAGATTTGGATAAGTACTTTCTTTGAAAAAAAAAATATATATAACTTTTTATTTTATTTTTTACTTCTCACATGTTAATTATTGAAAAAGACTAAGTTAATTAAGGATTTAGAAGTTATTGGTCGTATAAGTAATGAGAAGCATATTGTTAAAACTTTTAAAATTAACAATGAAAAATGAAAAATATTTGTTCGTGAAAAATCAGGTAGAAAATACTAGTTTCTTCTTTTTCCTCCAATCATTTCCTTTCTTCTTCCAAACAGTGTCTCATTTTTCTTTCTCTCAAACATTTATTTTTTATGAAAGAAAAGAATTGCAAAAATATCTAAAAATACCTTTTATACAAATTGGCCGTCTTTCGGCCCAACTCATTTGTCACATGCACCTTGGGTATGTTGAGCTTCTTATTGATCTCCTCTTCAAGTTATTGGGCTTCGATCTCCTCAAGCCCATCATGCTCTATTGTACGGCACTTCAATTTTCTCCCCCACTGGTAATTGAAACAGTGAAAATATGAGTTGAGTTTAAAGTTCAGAATTTAAAAATTTAATTAAATTAATAAAATAATATTTTTATTATATAATAAATTATTACTAAAAATGTTTTTTTTTATGAAAAATAAATAAACTGAACTTTTCGATTTTGAAAAAATATTCTTAAATTCAGTTGTTATATCATAATAAAAAAAAATAAAGTTGATTTAAATTAAAGTTACGCAATTTTGACCTGCTTTATATAAGAATGCTTTGAAGCAAACTTCGATGTGGGGCTTTGGGAATTTTGATACTATCCATCTTCCAAAACCATCCAAATTTGGTTAAAACCCTACAAGAACTCTGCCGCATACAAACAAATAAAGTCACGAGAACAATCCAACAAAACGAATTCAATACCCAGCTAGCTTTCTCTGTTTGTGGTGGAGAAAACTCTCTCTCTCTCTCTCTCTTCCACATGTTGTATGAAGAAAAAAGCATATTAAGTTATTGGTTTGGTGTGTGGCATAAGAATACGATAAAGCAATGAATAAATTTGGTAGAGTTGGGTGGAAGAAGGAGTAAGAAACAAAAGAAGAATTGCATAAATGGGTTCACGGGAGTTGTATAGACCAACCAGAAGGATTCCCACGGTGGCTGGTTTTTGTATAAAATACAAGAAAATGCATTGGGGTGATGGTGGTGTATGCTTTTTCTTTCTTCTTCTATCGCTTTCTGTGTGCGTTATTAGTTACTCTCCATAGCCATGCATGCATGTGACACCACATGTGGCACTGCCACTTCCTTTTTCTCAATCATTCACATGCATCCTCCATCCATGACCTTCATCATCATTTCCTCCTTCTGAAACATCTATATTTTAAAGGTGTCTAATCCTTCATCTTGGAACAAAACAATGGAGAAAAAAATAACCCTTCCAAAAGTTCTTATGTCACCTAATCCTCAACCACTGATTCCATGCTATAATAGACAACATTCTTGAGGATCAAATTTTCTTCTCTTCAAAGTGCTTTATCAAATGGTTTGACGTATAAGGGCACGTTCCAAGCTTCCCTCACACATGTCTCTCTCTATCATTACCACCCACCAACGTATCCACTGCTCCTATTAAATTTCCCCAAATTCATGAGCAAAATAATCTTCATACAAGTTAAAAACTGATACTTTGATAACCCACTTTAAATAAATCCACAACTCTTCAATCAAGCTTGAAAATTTATATAGTTTAACTACTCATTTTCAATAAATACGAAACTCTTCAAGTATAGAAAAGTATAACTTACATGCTTTTATATATTATTATAATAATAACTATTATTATTATTATTATAGTTTTTTTTATGTCTCTGTATATTTTTGTTTGACAAAAAAAATATTTTTAAGATTTTTTTATGTATAATTAATATTATTAGAAGCTACTTATTCACCTTAGTGAATGCATCCTTATCCTTGTTTTTCAATTTGTTCTTTACCATATCAAAGAATTTCACTATCAACAACTTGTTGGTATAGGTTCTATTGATCTTGAATTTGATCCTTTTAAATTCAAGCTTTGTGGTTAAAAAATATGATTAAAACAAAATATTTCATCATGAAAAACAAAGTTAGAATTGAATAATTTTATGATTAATAATTTTGAAATAGCATATTTTGTAAATTTCGAGGAAGTATATATAAACAAAAACAAGTTTGTAATAAGATGAAAAAACATATTAAAATATATTTTCCTTTATTTTAATCATATACTTGTCCTAAACAATTTACAAACTTTACTACCAAATAATTTTTTTTTTATATTTTATTATTGATTACATTATTAATCACAAATATATTTTTATAAATATTCCCCTGCCCATAATTCACTCTACAGTGAGTCGTTTAATAACAGTTACTATCCTAAAAACAATGTAACATCAGTTACAGCCATGAAAGAATTTAACATCAGTTACCAAATATATTATATTAAAATGTTATAGTTAAAAATATAAAACTTCTTAACTTTTTAATTTTATTTGGTTCAATTTAATTCTTTTATTAATAAAAGACTTTTGTTTTTGAAAATGATATTATTAAATATAAAATGATTAAGATATTAAAAAATATTTTTTTTCTGATAGATGCCAGAGTGGATTAGATTAAAGAAATCCATTTGTGAACTAACCTCAAAATTAGTGAGGTTGATTAATAATTTTAATCCCTCAAGTCATCTTTATTCGTTATATTTATCAATTAGATAAGTTAAGAATGAGCTGATTTACTATCTATTTTTAAAAAATATTTATATATTTAAATTAAAATAATTATATATTTATATTATATTATTAAAATATATAGATATTTATAATATTATATATACATACGGTAATTTTTAAATTTATTAGAAAAAATATTAATTAATAAATAAATAATTTAAAAATATTCACATAATTAAAAATATATTTTACAAAATTTATATAAAAAAATATATCGATGGTTAACTCACCAACCAACCTTTAACAAAGGGAACTGGAATATAAAATATTCTTCATTTTGTGTGAAGTAGAACCAGGACGGAATAAACCCGGTCGGCTTGAACCGTTTTGCATACTAATGTTTCTTATCGGCAACAGTTGGTCGTTACAATTTTTGAAACTGTAAATTATTAGGGCATATCAGGGTTTCTGTGTGGATGGAGACAAATTCAGCGAATGATGATAATGGTAACGTGGAGTCATACAAAAGGACGTGCCAGAAGGGCCAATTTAACAGGCAAGAAAATGTGATGGTGGCGTAGAATCTGCAATGGTCATGATCAAATAAATCTCTTTCTTCGCTATCTAAACCCATCCATTGCCACCAACAACATACTCACACATTTCATGTACAAATTGGACAAATTCTTACTCAATTTCCAATATAAGTAAGTTTCCAACTCCACTCTACTTGTAAACCACTCTTCACATAACACAAACTTCCCTCTTTTGTCTTTCAACAACTCTTCCACTCACTCTCCAATGGCCACAAACCTAAACATCCTTCTCTTCTGCCAGATTGCACTGCTTCTTCTTTTTACAGACACTCATGTGAGATAACATCATTCTTGTTTTTCTTTTGGTATGTAAATGCTGTAGCATAAACTAATTAACATTGTCATCTTCAGGCTAAGAATGTTGTTGGTATCAGTGAGTCTCCATCTCCAGCTCCAGCTCCAGCTCCAGCTCCATCACCAGCTCCTCAGTCACCCAAGGTGAGGTTTTTCACATTCAGAAAAATTGGCATAAACTTAAGTATTTGTTTCATGTGTTAATTTTGTCTTTGTTTTCTTGAATCACAGAATGGCACCACTGAAGGAAGTCTTCGACCAGAAGGTATATATAATGAAGAATTCAGTAATGATTTCTTTTCTTGCATTGATGAAATGAAATTGATGTTATGGTAAGATTAAAATGGTGCATGAAATTACAGATTGTGAACCTCGTTGCGCGGAAAGATGCTCAAATACACAGTACAAGAAACCGTGTTTGTTCTTCTGCAACAAGTGTTGTGCTACATGTCTGTGTGTGCCCCCTGGAACCTATGGCAACAAGGAGGTGTGCCCCTGCTACGACAACTGGAAGACCAAAAGGGGAGGACCCAAATGCCCTTGAATGTTGAATTAATTCATTGTTCCCAAATCAGTCCCTTGTATTATATCATGTCGGCATTTACATTTCCTTTCCTTAATCATCTCTGTTAACTGTGTATTTAATTATTTTTTATTATAAAAATTTGATCTAAACGTGTATTTCATCATCTTTGTTAGATTTACTTCTCAAAATTTCTCCTTTGACTAACAGTAATTTTTTTTTCTCAATTGTTTTTCCCTCTTGGGTTAGAGCCTTTGCTCACTATCCTCCATGTTTAGTCGTCGTTGTTCTTTGCCTGACTTTTCAGGTTAGATTAGATTTTCACGATATTTTTGCAACTAACTACTTCGTCAGGAGTAGTTAAGAGCAAGATTTTAAACTAAATATTTGGGATGCTTTTGCAACTATAAATGGCTTATGGCTTGTCATGGATCCGATTGATGAGGTTGATCTTGAAGGCTAGAATATGAAAGAGAAAGATTATATGTTATTTATGTTCATTGAAAATATCTATCACAAACAGGAGAATTTTCGTTTATTATAAAATATTATGTAAACTTTTCGTTTAAAAACGATACGGTCTCATGTTTTCGTGCAAGGTATTATTATTTTGATGTTTATGGATATACTTGGAGGAAAAAATAATATATTATTAATAAATAATAAATAAACA